TTTTAAAAGTTTATCACCCATAGTGCACCGCAATATTTTGCTAATGGCCGCTTCCGGTGACAGGCTTTCTCAGCGTAGCGAAGTTTCTGTGGACGTGAGAGAAGCAAAGGGGGAAACGACACCGATCAAGAACGCAGAAGTGAGAATGTCATCCACAGACCTCTTCATGAACGCAGATGAAGTTAATCCCATCAAAAACCGTTATCCACACTGCGTTGTTTGGACCCCCATACCACTGCTAACGTAAGTGACTGTTTAACCGCAAAAGAGGGGAGAGTGGGGGGGAGTAGTATTCTTTAGAAAAAAATGTCGACTAATAACCCCACTAACTCAAGATTCTCATGATTGAACTTTTTGTGAAACATCATAGAGTTGTGACAAATAAAAAAACTCGGTGTTTAAATGAAATATAGCTTGTATCACTCTACTAGATCGATCCAGAGATTAAGATTTAGATCGACCTAACTTCCTGGGGGTTCACGCTAAATTGCAGTCAGCCGAGCGCGCACCTTAATTAATTACCCCCTTACAGTTTTTAGTAGGCGGGACAGACACTTAAGCCGGTTAAGCTGACAGTAATCTACAGGGATAGATCGATCTAAAATCTATGGGAAGGGGGTCTTAAATATCTGCTCTAATAAATTTTTTTATAACTTTCTCTGTTACTGTGTCCAGCCAGACTAAGGGCGCATTCAGATGCACACATCACACTAGCTGGGTCGGTCCAACTCTGCAGGAGATTCTTGCTGATGCTAGTAAAACCCAGCTAGAAAAATATGTGGATCTGAATGCGGTCTAAACTGCTAGTGGCTCACACACAAACCTCCTTAAAATATGTTTTTCTAAAGAAAAGTATTTAAGATATTTTAATAGTTGTATATATTTCTTAGTCTTGTTTGACAGTGAAGAAAATTAACATTATTTGATCATTATAAATAATAGTAATAATAACATAAGAACAACAGATCACTTTCAGTTGGCTTCGTTTGATTATTTAAGATGGCTGTTTCCTTTCATTGGTCACATGGGCATTGCCACAACAGCTGGAGTAATTAGAGATTTCGCAGGTCCATATTATGTTTCAGTAAGTAATGGCATTGCATTTATTCCTGTCATTTTACAATACACAAAGATGGACATAACTTGGTCCATATTATGTTTCAGTAAGTAATGACATAGTATTTATTCCTGTCATTTTACAATACACAAAGATGGACATAACTTGGACCATATTATGTTTCAGTAAGTAATGACATAGTATTTATTCCTGTCATTTTACAATACACAAAGATGGACATAACTTGGTTGGAAAGAAGAGTAAAGGAAGTGAATGGAAGGAAATAATTGATATAAATAATTTATATATTTATTTTTTATTTACTTATTAATTTCAAACAAATTAATGTAATTTACTGTACTGAAAGATTTAAGGTCAATATATTATTATAAGATATAGATATTGAAAATAATTATAATATATATGTTGTTACTTCTTGAAAAGGAAATCAATATTTTAGAATTTGCCTCTTTATGGTTTGCAATGTTTTCATTAATCTTTATATTGGTTCTTTAGGAAGATTGTATGGGATTTGGAAACCCAACAAAGTGAGTTGTTTTCTATTTAAATAATTGTTACATCTTTAAAGGGATAACTCTTCGTTTTGGCCAAAAAATGAATTTTCCTGGAGTAAAGAACAATTTTCCCATACTTACCAATGGTGAATGAATCCATTTTTACATTCAAAATTAGTCCCTATTTTTTTTTTTTTTCTAAAAAGTTTGTTTTTTTGTTATAATCTCTTAAGAGATTTTGATAGAGTATAGCCATCAATGGAGGTCACGTGGTCTAAAGACAAGCTCAGATATCAGAATAATAGCTATAACTGCCGTTTTTGTGGTAAAACAGAATATATTATATTTCTATGAGTCATTCACAATGTTTTTATTGTGAAATTTAGTTATCCCTTTAATTGGTGCTCAAATGTTCATGTTGTATATAGTAATATACAGAAGTTGAATGTATTGTTTTGTTGAAAATTCAGATTTTTTAAGTCAATGAAACCATTGATTTTTTTTCTTAAGTTTATATTATTTTATTTTAATTTATTTTATTTCACTGTATTGCCCATTGTGTTAAAATGCACGCATTGGTGAAGAAAAAACGTAATTTAGAACAGATTGCAATACAGACAACACATTTTGCTGGAGAAGACATTGTGTTAGAGAAGACAGCTGTCACATTCTGATTGTGTTTCAGATATTGGCAGTTATCATTGGACAATGTTCACACAGGGAAGGAGGCATATGACAGAGCAGTATATGAGGCATCAGAAGAATATAAAAAACACATGGTAAGCAGTACTGTATAGAAATAAAACTTTTAGCTCATCAGGCATCAAATAGAAATGAAAAATACAAGGTAATCAGTATAAAATTAAAGTATTTCCATGCATGAGCCATTGAAGAAATGTATAAAAACACATGGTAAGCAGTATTAGGATTTTTAGCTTTTCAGTGTCTCTGCCAATCATAAGCAAAACATTTTGCGTGATTTTTTCTCCCTTGAACATTTTTGGTAAAGCAAAATCTGAACATAGGATAATGTTCTAGTATTCTTTAAATTAAGTTTCACAAATGCTGATTAAAAAAAAATATTGTTACTCCTTTCATCTGTGGCAGGGGCGGATTTAGGCCGTCTTCTGGGTCTTCTGGAAGACGGTCAGATTTTTAAGTTAACATTGACGGGTGTCTAATTTTTCTGTCGGAAGACGGTCATAAATGGAGGATGAATCAACAAAGATAATTTGGAAGACTGTCAGAAAATTTCTCTGGATCCGCCCCTGTGTGGGATCGCTAAAAAACATTTGAAGCATAACCTAACCCATTTTGTCCAAAGATAGGTATAACTGTTATAATTTCATAAAATATTTTGTAAACTTTCTCTCTTTCAGCACAACTTATTTTGTGATAATTGTCACTCCCACGTTGCCCTGGCAATGAACACCATGCAGTACGACAAGAAGACATCCTGGAATATGTTTTCTCTTTGTTTTCTGATGCTAATTCATGGAAAATATGTGAAGTAAGTACGAAATGGATGTTCGCTTTGGCAGAGAGTTAGATGTGACACTATATTTTTGATTTGTTAGATATGAAAGTTTTTTAAAGTGTTTTAAATGTCAAGAATTGAAAATGGATTTTTTTTTAATGTTTATAATATTTACCTACTCCCCAAATCATTATTCAAAATTGTTTTAATAAAAGTAATGGAAATAACTAATATTATTTAGGAATATATTAATTGAATTTGGTAATCTCCCTTGAGATATTACAGTGTCTTCAACACATTATCAGTTGTTGGTAGCCATTTTCAAATTCTTTCATTCCTCTTGTTTTAGTTGCTGTTCATTCATCAAAACATGGCTTCCATTCTTCATTCTGGTTGGAATCATATTCACAGCTGTTTTGATCACCAAGCTAACGTGATGAAAACTCCAAGAATGTGACATTTGGAATATTCAGGACATTTAAAGTCGGAAACTGATCATTCCTAATGAAACTGATGGGTTTTTGCCTATGAGGTGTGGCAATTCAACTCCTCATCATAGGGCTCTAATGGCATGAATAACTTGTTAATGTGAGCTTCATGAGTTAGAATGTCATTGTGATGGGGAGAATTGACACGTCCTGGTGCTAGTAAAGGCATGAGACAAGAGATGATCAAAAACCCATTTGAAATCAATTGCATATGTAGACAGAAAAAAAAGCAAATAATTTCCAAAAGAGATTAATTGTGTTTTTATCTAAAAATCATGTGAACAAGGCCTTGGGACAAGGAGCCAAAATGTCACACCTTATTTGTCATGTTCTATCTCTTATTAATTGATTTATTTTTTCTTCCGCGTTGTAACTCGAGAGACAGTGGAGAACCTAGTTCAACAATTTTTTTGACAAATTCATCATGGGGACACAGAGGTCAGGGTCACTTTCCCACTTCCAAAGGTGAGGAAAAAAGGATTATCTCTCATTCTGACTGAGACCCGCAGTAGTACCTCAAATTGTCTAAATTAATTTAGAAATGAGAGAATAGACTAAAAAATTAAAATTGTGTTAGGCAGAGGGTTGGGGGGGGGGGGGGAGGAGGAGGAGGTGGAATTGGTGACCTCCTTTATGATGTCCTGAATCAAACTGTGATGTGATACTCTATGTGTGAGTACTTGAGAACAATTATTAGACACATCCATCGTTGTAATGATTATTCAGCAATATTGTAAAGGGTAGAGATGTTGGTGGAAAAATCTATAAAATCAAATATCCTTGCTGCATTTAATATTCCACTAACTACAGCACTGTCAAAAATATGTATAATTAATACAATATTGTAAACAGAAGAGCACATGTCTAGTGGAATTATTATTGATATAAAACATACCCACAGTTGCTATTGTAACTCTGTAGCACTGTTTTATTTAGGTTGGTGGAATATCAACAGGAACAAAAACCGTAATACATTCTATATTCCTTTTGTACTAATTCAGTGGTCACATCATATGAATGCGTTGAAGCACTTTTTGCTTGATGGACTCTATTCATTTGATGTCATTATGACCCTCGCTGTAGGATACAATGCTTATTTTACTGCACTTAAATTAAATTATCCAATGAAAATAGTTTATCCATCGTATATTTTTTAACTTGTCATCAGATTATCCAACGGGACTGCCTAATACATTGTGATTGTAACTTATATGTCTAAGGGCATGTATAAAAAGATTTTTTTTGTATTTTTTCATTCTGCTGTACAAAAAAAGCTTGAGAAATGTAATAAGTGTTTATGAATAAAATCAACCATTCTTGAATGATATGGCGCATTAGATATGATATTATGGTAGCATTCTTCAGGTAAGTTTTGCATGGGGTGCGTTACTCCTCACAGCGGCAAGTCCGCCGGGATATTCCATTATTTACAAAATACCTTACAAAATTGTGGTAGATATTTCAGAATGTTTATCAACCCTTCAATAAATTGTATAGAGGTGTAACAGGAATGCAAGTCCTAGGAATAGAAGTACGAGCTCACATATGATTAGTCAGCAGGCCCGTAGCCGGGGGGGGGGGTCGAAAGAACCCTCCTTTTTGCTGGGAAAAGGTTCCCTCTAGGTAAAATTTTATATAGGTACACGAAAGTTTCATGGGAAAAGGTCCACTTTTTCAGAAAAAGGACACCCCTTTTGAAATTGCTGGCTATGGGCTTGTACAGCTTGGGGTTAGTTGGAGTATTGAGGTCAGTATATTGGACGATTGTCACCTGTACAAAGTAATGGGAAACGGACTTCCATTTCTGTTACGCCTGTGCGGCTATATCGCTAAGATAGAATGCTTGATGTAAAAATGCATGGAGACGGATTCTGTTCCTGTAGTAGTTTTAACTTGGCGTTTACCCTCTACCAGGGCCGCAGATTAAAGGGATAACAACTATTCGTATGAAATCTATATTTCACAATAAAAACATTGTAAACAACTCATAGAAATATCATATATTCTATTTTACCACAAAAGCGGCAGTTAAAGCAATTATTCTGAAATCTGTACTTGCCATCAGACCACGTGACCTCCATAGATGGCTATACTCTGTAATAATCCCTTAAGAGATTATTACAAAAAAAAACAAACTTTTTAGAAAAAAAAACAGGGACTAAATTTGAATGTAGAAATGGATTCACTAGCCATTGGTTATTATGGGAAAATTGTTGTTTGCCCCAGGAAAATTCTTTTTTTTTTTTTTTTTTTTTTTTTTTCCAAAATGAATAGTTGTTTTCCCTTTAATATCGTGCAATTTTCTCTAAAAGTGTCACGAAATAACCAGTGACATATCTGTAAATATCTTGGGAAAAAGTCCATCTGTGACCCTGATAGAGGGTAAAATCGGCTTACGATAACGGCATATACTTTATTGACTAAAAATAGACGAAAAAAGTCACTGTCTAATTCACAACAATTTTCTTAACAATTCTTTGCTGTGTCACGGTACAGAAAAGTGTACGTAATTAACCGACAGAGACCTATCTATGAATGTATAGTGAAATGTCAATCTGAGGGCCTGATAGAGGATATCCCTACCGATGTGTTGACCACCCAGCAAAAGTCCTTTAGTATTTGCCAGATATANTCCTGGTAGAGGATATCCCTACCGATGTGTTGACCGCCCAGCAAAAGTCCTTTAGTATTTGCCAGATATATTAAATTGCTACAAAGATAAGAAAAGGAGAGAAAGAAATTAAATTAAGCCACATGGCGAGGTACGCTGGCGCTTCACGATGAATAACTTTAATTCGCTTTTTATGCGTAAAGAGGGCGACTTAAATGGGGGCGACCAGTCGTAATTGCCAGTGTTTAAGGTAATCGCCAATTTATTCCGACTGGATTTAGAGAATTAGACACTGAATTAAGGGACCATTCCCACTACTTTATCGTACTAGCAGGATCGATCTATCTCCAAGGAGAATCTCGCTAAATTGCATTCAGTTTAAGCGTTCACTTAAGTTAATTACTCCCCTAACAGCTTCAGTGAGCGTGACAGACATTTGAGCCGCTTAAACTGAATACAATATAGCGAGAATTTCCTCTGAGTTAGATCGATCCTGCTAGTACGATAGGTTTATGGGAACCCAGCCTAAGTGGCCATGGTAGACGGTTTTTAACTACCATTACCGTGTTAATCGGAGCATGGAGGTGCCAATGACATATTATACAGGACATTTTGCTGGCAAAATCTCGGCGAAGCAGGTGAGTTAGGTCCATTTTTGACACACCATTATTATGTTGCCACCTCTCACTTGAGAATCAGTTCTTCGCAAAATTGTTCCTTCAAAAACGCGTCCCTTAAAATTAAAGAAGGAAAATGTTCGGATAGGGCGGACAGTGATTTTTATACCAAGGTGTTAAGTTGAACCCATATATTACAGACACGCTGGGCCCGGAGAGACATGGCGTACATTTGACTGCAATAACCAACTTGAACAAAGTTTCTTTGCTGCAGGGAGGGGGGGGGGGTAAATTGTTTTCCTTTAACTTCCTAATAAGTAGTTTTCTACCGCTTATTATTATTATTATTATTATTATTATGGATGATATCCCTATCCTTGCTTGCAACAATATTAAATTCTTCAATACTAGCAACTTGTGTCAGCAGTGATAAGTTCAGGAGTGGAATTCGTTGGGGAGGGGGGGGAGCTATAAGAGCTGTAGAAGCATGTTTCACCAAAGATGGGTCCAGGGGACACGGCGGGTACGTATCCCTTCCACCAGTTTCAGAGGAGCCCCGTATTCCGTCTTCTCTCTCTTTTTTCACTAAATATTCACAAGTATGCCTCTGTTTATCTTTGACTTTCATAAATCTATGCACTTATCTCTCAACATCCAGCGAGAATTAAAGTATTGTGTTGAATCCATCCGTCAGCTGGCCTCCAGTGCAGAGTACCCCCCCCCCCCACCGCCACCACCCCCACACCCCACCCCCTTCCTTTCTCAAACTCGATATTGAATTTGACTAAAGTCGCATTCAGAAAAAGTTGATCCGCGGACTAACAGATCTGCGTATCAAAAAATGGCTCCACCTAATTGAAAGCGTGCCGAGACTTAATTGCTCTGTCGCCGCGGGGAAGGTGCGCGTGGTAGGCGGGGATCCAATGTCAAGCGCGCGCCATATTTGATACGCGGACTAGTTAGCTCGCGGATCAACTTTGTTGTGAATGCTCTCTAATATATGACTTGGTATTCTCTGTTTCAGCGGCGTGAGCTCGTTTAATGGCCACACGACATCACTAGTATTAACATGGGGCCCGCGTGTGTCGCTGACGCCAAGGTGCTTGGTGTCGTCACTACGGTCTGCGTGATAGCTATGTGTTACGTGTACACGGTGATTAGGCCCTTTGATGACGTCATTACAGCATGGAGGTACAGCGACCATTGGAGGATGTCAAGTAAGATGGAGGCGAAATATTCTGAATATACAGTGCGGGATATGCTTAATTGTGATGCATAGATATGCTTACTAAGGGAAAACAGTTTTTGGGTTCGTAATAAATAATCTTTCAATTTGATTTGAAATGTGATCGAGATACAGGGAGAAATAAACAGGATTAAGTTCGAATGAAAAAATAATCAGTTGATCCCAAGACTGAAGCTTAGACTAGCATGAAGGACAAATTGTTCTATTTAATATAACTTTTGATATAATTTAGTCTTGTTTGACGTTCCAGCCAAAAGATTGTTCGCACCGCCTCGAATAAAATCAACGTTCACTTCACTGGTAAGGTATCTATTTCCAAAACGTTTTATATCAACGTTAGGGTCCGTTTCACACGAAAAAATAACAAAATAAATAGATAAATAAATTAAAAAAAGCAATCGAAAGTATGCAGTACTGTATTTTCATCCAAATAAATATGTTGCATAATATCTATAAAAAGCGGACATCTCAACTGAAACACAGCGTATTTGTAAAACCTAAAGAAGTTTGAAAATACAGACCGGTTACTCACATTAACAATTTTAGCAATTTTTACCCGAAATTTCATACTTTACGGATTGTGCAGTTGTAAACGACCTCTAGCGAAAAAATTGTCCTTATGTATTATAAGTATAATGTTCTATATTTTGCAGCACGCGGATTGGGACCTTGTCCCGCAAAGTTGGATTAACGAAATGGAGGCCAGACGACGTCACCTTGAGAATGCGTGTGCAGCCGCGGAGCCACCAAGCAATAATAGTTTGGTAAAAGCGAGCCACAATTTATATGTCGATGAACGCCATCGGCTGATCATTTGCGAAATCCCCAAGGTAGGATGCAGCAACTTCAACCGGCTGCTGTACGGACTGTCGGCAAACATCGGCATAGACGAATATGAAAACATCAACGGGTCGCAGGTGCATTCGTTCCGAATGTTGCGGTGGCTTCGAAAACTCGACAGTTTTTCTGATTTTGGGATTCAGTTTCGACTCAAACACTACCTTAAAGTTATAGCAGTGAGGCACCCGTTCGAAAGAATAGTTTCGGCTTACCGCAGTAAACTTGAGGGTGGCGATAGGGAGTTTTCGGCGACTTATGGTCCAGCAATTCTTAAATATGAACGTAAGAAGAAAACTGAAGAAGTTATCCGTCATTACAACGTCTCTTTTGCTGCTTTTGCGAGATATTTAACTCAAATTTCTGTTCAGACAAACTTCCATTTTAAAGCATACCATGAAATCTGCTTCCCGTGTACTGTTCACTATGACGTCATCGCACGTCACGAGACCATCAGCCGTGACGTAAGCATGGTGCTGAAAATGATCCACGCTGCACCTGGGTTTCACTATCCAAATTCTCACCGAGTTAAAGTTCACTCGGAGGACGTGTGGAAGTCGTATTTCAAACACATGACAAAAGAGGAAGTGTGGCAATTTTGGGACACTCAATTTGAGACGGACGGACGTCTGTTTAACTATACAATGCCAAACGACATTGGCAAATCATAAATCACAAGACAGGTCCACGGCTTTTTTGTGGGAGTACGGCTAAGAACGCTTATTTAAGTGATTTTTAAATGAAAATTCGAGCAAAGAGACATGGATTCATGGGCTACAGATTGCACCTGAACAGTGACGACCATCTTGAAAATGGCTGTCAACTTGAAAATTTGAGATGGTACATTTTATAGCCACTACCTTCTTCGCTACAAAATATGAAAAGATCATACCATACCCAATGCTTAATATAATATTATCAATTACAAAAAACGGAAATGACGACGATTATCTTGGATTCTGTGCGTTTCTGTGGTTACATGAACACTTTCCAATCGCAACTCTCGGCTAGCTTGGCTGACATAAGAGGGCCAACGTTAGTAACCTGAAACGTAGGAGGTTGGGGAGCGTATACTGTGAGTCTATACTGTGTATAGGAGAAAGTCACCGCTCACACTCTGATATTCAGGGTGGTTGAAACTTTTAAAACTGGGTGCGCATTGTGCTATCTCAACCGTCTTTGTCGCATCTAACACAATGAAAAATAAGGCTATTATTGGGCTCGTTGAAAGAGTATTTGTTTGCTCCTGCATTAATAATTGTGAATAAGTTATACGAATGAGGTTAAAGGTCGTAATCAAAGGATTGAAAATGAGATTGAATGATGGGGTTTGCTCGAGGCAGGCAAACACGAATGCTGGCATTTTATGTCTTGAATAAAATCCTCCGAAATCGCACCTACAGTGTACATCTTTGGTGGAAATGTAAATGTAAATGTAATCATCAGATGCTAAACCTTACATGCCATCAGGTGTCGGAACATCAAAGGTCGTCCACTCCCGGCCGTGTTTGCTGTGACAGTTGACAGTACGTGACACGACGGCAGTGAGACGCGGTCATCTTACCTGTTATATCTCCTGTCAAATATTGTCACATCCGGTGACACGTCGCTCCCTCCAGCTCCAGACTGGACGCTGATTATTGCACGCACGGGGTCAGCGGAGGATATTCTCTTTCTTTCCTCTCTCTCTCTTTCTCTCTCTCCCTCCCTCTCTCTCGTTTTCTCTTATAATATCTCTCATGCTGTCTGTATTTTCTACTTCGCTTTCTATAACTGCGTATTTTCCTTTCTCTCTATCGGCCTCTTTCTCTCTCTGTCCCTCTCTCGTTCTGTCTCTCTCTCTCTCTCTCTCTCTCTCGTGTTCTCTTTATTTTTCTGGCTTTGTCTATATTTATGTATCTGGCACTCACTGTATCTCTGTTTTTCTTCGCCCTGTAGACTAGGCGGCGCACTGACACAAGCACACGGGGGAGGTTGGTGATAGGGGTCGGATTTGGGTGGAGTTGTGGTGAGTTACAAAAACGCTCTTGGAAAAATTAATGGCACAAAGTGTCATGAGACCACACATGTTCATCCTCAGTAAAACACTCCCTTTATCAAATAAAACAACAGCAAATATGGATGCTCCACCCATTCTGCAAGCCTTCATGAGCAATCTGAGATGAAACGCTCTGCTGTGCACCGTCGCTGTTTCTCTTTTTCCCGTGTACAACATTACGTGTTAGATTTTGATGACGACGTTTTTTGATCCGGAGCGCGCGATGACGCCACCCCCCGTTGTGGGGTGTGCTATCGAGTTAGGGTAAATCTATCGCATGTAAGAAATAATGTCAGCGAGGGTGGAGGGAAACAAGTTCCAAGTTGAGGTATTCAAGTGATACTGCGCTGCAGGTGTGAAAATGTTAGGTTTAGGGGAAACATTAAAGTTTGTGGATGACCTCTCTCTCTCTCTCTCTCTCTCTCTCTCTCGGTTATGCAAACGTGAACGTGAACCTTGTTATTTATATATCCTTCACCAAGGAATGTTAAGTCTTTGGGGTTACAATATTAACACACTTTACAAATCTTTGCCATAGTTCTTAAGCGTGGACCCCCCCCCCTCCCACACACACACACAAACGCCCCTCCAAAATGCCACCCAATATTGCAACTATTCCTGACAAGCTCTGTGACGGAGCTTTCCATGCATGAAAAATACAAGTCTCACTTATAAAACAAAGAAAAAACGTCAGATGGAGGAAAAGCTTCAATGATACATTAGCTAACCAACAGCTACATGAGAATTCGAAGTTCTTTCCTCTTCATTATTCTTTTTTCGATATTTGAGGAAACGTTTATTTTATTTTATTTTTTTTTTCGAACTTTTAGTGTATAACACACCTGGTGAAATTGTTCGCTGGTTCCGACGGAGACGCTTTAAAACTGCGTTGCCAAAAGTAGACTGTCACTTTTAAGTAGACCTTTTTATCCCACCTATAAGGCCTGGATCATTTTTTGAGCTGACCAAAATGGTGGTTCTTTCTCCTCTCTCTCTCACCCTCCCCCACCCCACCCTCCAAAACTCCCCTGCTTATAGGCCTGGAGTGACCACTTTTTTCCTCTTCGCCTTAAATTGGGTCAGCTGATTTTTTTTCTTTTCACGAAGAAAATGGGGAGAAGGGGTGGACAAACAAACTTTTAAAGTCAAATTTCTCTTCTTTTCCTGTAGTTCTCCTTTTCCTTGTTTAGTTACCGCCAGGTAACAGCCAGTGAGGCCTTAGCGGCGCCATGACCATCTCCTTTACCAGAGGTTATTAAGGATCGTCTGCTAGATCAGATGAAATCGATGAAGATCGGGTGTCTTATGAATTCACAACCTCTTTCAAGAAAAGACGCACAATTTATAAAACGGAAACTCGAAAATGATAAACAATAATAGATGAAAATGTTATCTTTTTTATCTGTTTTGAAACTTTGAGCCCGATTCATCATCATTTTATTTCGTCTTCACATAGGGTAGTCAAACTATATTTTAAAAAAACCGATATTATTTATTTGTCTTGACAAATGTCTTCTTATCCATCACTCAAAATTTGCGTCTTAGTCGTCCCGTCGTCGCTTTTCTACAAGGCTCTGCCTTAGCCAGCAAGTCCCTTTTTTAGGAAGTGGAAAAATCAAAGGAAAAATCCACTATGTTATTGCTTATTATCTTCATTCCACATCCTCGTGTTTTCAATCATATTTCGCAGGTAAGTTTAGATTCGCAATATAATAGTGACCCGCCGGCGCCTGGACCTAGCGTCTGATGACTGGTCGTCATGGCAACACGGCGTAAGGTTGAAAGAAGAGAACGTGGGACGTAACCTTTCATTCCTTCTTTAATATCAAAATCTGCTTTTATGTCTGTTTTTTGATGGAGACTGAGAGAAAAAGGCAAAGGTAACCGCATGGAAGAAATAAAGCCTTTCAACATTGTCTGTCGTTTGAAGTACTGGCGCTCGAGTTTAAGAAATCCATGTTCTTCCATTAAAATTGAACGAGATTGATTGATTAAAAATGGCAGAATTACGTACAACTATTGGCATATGCATAAAGGCATAAGACCATCTTTATTTCAAACAGAAATCAGCTGAGGTTTATCAAATTATTCACGTCATTTGAGATACAATACTTTTTAGCATTTTGTCAAGGGTAGCATGCTGGCTGATGAAATAGTCCCATTTTCCTCTTGTTACACGAGTTAAATCGTATTTCGTGTGCAGCATAATAGTTATACAATGTTATCACACTTTACGTCTTTTTCAGTGATTTTGGCACTACTTGGTAGTCCGTATAAAGATAGACAACAATCTAAGTCATTCAGCAATATAATAGTGGTACATGTATATCTGTTATTTCTTCGGGTTATACGTGTATATGAAAATGCCATTACATCAATTGATAACTCTCCTTTTTCTCCAAGCTCAAGGAAGATTTGTACAATAATTTAAAGCGAAAGGAGTTAAAACGTTTTTTGAAACATGTAGGTAACATTTAAAATACACTGCCATTATAGGTAAAAAAACACTAAAATTATTTTGTTTTCTTGGTTTTTCTATTTCGTTTGCTTTGAAATATTAGACCCACAACTTAAAAGAGGTAAAATTTAAACGCTTCCGCGAAAACACTGGAATGCAAATATTTGAACTAAACCTGTTTTTAAAGTTACAATTCTCACTAGTTCTCAATTTATGAATTGAATTGGCCACAATGATAATAATTGCATAGGTCATTCGAAAAGGTCGACTGTTTCAACCATACTTTATACAAACAAATTTCCACTATTTTCGATTTTTAATTTAGATTATGTCGAATTAGTTCTGTATTTCACGGGCATAAACCGCACCTTTCTATTGGCAAAATTACCGACTGCGGCCAATAATCGACCACAAATCATATCTAAAATCGCAGCATTCCTTCTAATCAAAAAATACGGCCCGTTATTGCCACTCCTCAATAGTTATTAGCCGGTGGAGTGAGTTTTGAAAAGGCCGCAAGAGTCATAGGGGGCTGAGCTCGCTTAATTAAAGAAAAAGTTAATTTTTCGCTTTACAACTGCGTCCGGCTCACAAACGCGGGAATAGAGGTACATATTTGCACTCTTGCTGTGCTTACAATTTCTGTGTGCCCTCTTATAATATAACTGGAAAATGTCGAGGATGTTGGGGGTATCAATTGTGCCTGTTATGAATCGAACTAGGCCCTAATATGTTTCCATTCATGTATTCTTTCATTGAGTCGCCGTCCCCGGTTCAGTGTACTCATATTTATACAATAACATTGGCCTCGGGCCTGGGTGCAAAAACATCGTTAACTAGCTACGACTTAGTGAAAAGAAATACGCCATCTCGCGTTCTTCACAACTCATTAAGCACCCCCCCCCCCTCTTCTTCCCTTCCTTGAATGCCTTTTTAATTGGGCGGCCGAGCTGTCAATCAAAGCACCGCATTCCGCGGCGCTGGCGGCAGAGAGCGTTTTTGCAGCATTTAATATGTTCACCTCTTGGCTCTTCGGGCGGAGTGGACCACGTGACCCGAAGGGTTCAGTTTAATTGCATTACAGCGGCACGCGCCACGCGGGATTCCGGCCTCGAATCAAAAGCGCTACCTGAGGCTTAACTTAACCGAGCGCTGGTCGGTGGTGGTTTTTCAACGGTGTTTGTCCGCGGACCTCACCAGTATTAGGATTAGCTTCGTCACTAGTGTGTGGTATTTGGCGTATTAACTTAAGGCCGGGATTTACACTACCTGACGCATTCCGGTCCACTTAGCTCTAGACGAGAGTTTTACATCGTGGACTGAATGAACGAAACCAATCGTAATATGCTGGAGTGACGGATAACTCATACATTTGATAACGCTGTACAACTGAAACTACAAGGCAGTACTTTGATTAACGGGTAGGCGACAGAGTCGACACTCTGCTGTCGCTACAGTGGCTGTCAGCATATTAGAGGACGGACAACGTTGAAGGAGTATGTGACATAATTATCTTAATACGGCCGCTACCTGCAGGGACACGGCCTCGTCATTAAAGACGCGAGACCGCCAAACCTGGGCTTGTTAATGAGAAGCGTTTAACGCCTCTGTTAACTCTGAATCAACCGTCGCGGTTGTGGCATAACACGCAGAGATAGGGACCCTTTGATTAAGAGCGGTGTTCACACCTCGGTGTCTGATAAGAGTCCACGCGGTCTCTGAGAAGAAAATAGGAGATCCGAGGTAGCACGACCGCCTGTTACACGGTCATCAGTGATCGGCGCAGTTCCGAACCTTTAGGACGCAATCCGAGGATTTTTGTTGGGGACGATTTTGCAGTTTATTTGACGGCTTCTCGTACGTGAAGATCAAAAAGTTTTATAACCGGCCGTTCAAAACTACGGGACGCCATAGGGATACATTTAACTGCAAACCGACAGTTTTCATTTTTGCAGCTACACTCTAGGTGCCAGCACAGCGTTCACGAAACTCAGTGGCCCGACAGAGATAGAAAACAGTTTAACAAACCTGACCGGTACTTAAGCAAGTGCAGCGCAAACGCCAGAGCGCTCGGATTTTTTTGTCTTCAAGAAAACATCCAAGTATGGGAGAGAGGACCCGACCGTGTGAAACTTTAGAGATAACTTAAGTAAAACAGGGCGAGGTGGCGTCGTCATCATCCCGGTGAAAGGAACCATTATTTTACTTAGTAGCCTCTATTGATTTGGAGTGAGTCAGCCCTTGGCGTTCTGGGATATAGGGGAGAGATAATGCACCGAGGCAGTCACCGTGAGTGAGAAGTTAGCGTTAACTCAAGTTCTCGGATATTGAGGGGGAAAGTGTGCGGAGTCAGTCACTTTGTGGATACATTCAATTTGGTGCGGTGTCTCATCCCTCGTTAAATGTGTTAAGATAACTCGAGGCAAAAATTAAGGCGTATGTCGACACTAATAGATGGTTTAATCCTATCATCGAGAGACACCGTATAAAAATAAGCGTTTATTGAGGTGAAATCTTGGATGGTTTCTTAGAAGTAAAAAAACCTGTATGTTGTGACTTCGTTAAAAGGGAACATTTGTAGTAATACCACAAGCATTTGAATTATTGGAACTTGAAAGGAAAAACTTTAAAAATAACAGCATTTAGGTTGTTTAAACAGCAGTAACATTGCTAATAGCGAAGAGCATTAGCCAGATCAACAGTTGCTACCTCTACCAAAGAAACAAGCACACAGAGCGTTCGTCCTACCAGTGACAACGTGACAGTATCGGTCGCCCATGTAAGCAATAACAACATGGGTTTAACATTATTTGAACGCTGAAACATTACTCGGAAACAAAACGGGAAATTTACCAGGAGTAATAACACGTGGGTCTATTTTTATTTGATTTTCACGCCATTCACAGGAATCAAGGATTAAGTCAGGTGAAAGACACGTTTATCCATTGCCTGCTTTTGACTTCCAGGAAAATTTCCAGGAATATTCTTGCACAACGGTGCTGATGACGCTTAACCTAGGCCACTCTAAGTAAATGATAATTAAAATGAATCGGCGTGGACTTTACTATTTAATACTTTTATTTATACTCATGAACATTGTGATGGGAAGATTCAGGGGGAACTCTTTCGACAGGGATGGCGATGAAGATGATGAGGAAAACGAGAATGACGACACATCGGTAAGTAAGCACTATGGCCGATATTGTCTATATCTGAGTATTGCAGAGGACATATTTTAGAGCAGCGCTCTGAAAGTTATTGATGAAAAGTACGATGAATATTTGTATTACACAGGAGTAAACAAACAAAAAACAAACTAAAAAAATTAGCATTGAATTCAAGGTGTGTGGGTATGCGCGCGTGCGTGTGTTAGCGTGTGTACATGCATGCGTCAGTGTGTAAGCACGTATGTTTGTTTGCATGCGTGCGTGAGTGTGTGTGGGTGTGGGGGGGGGGGGGGAGATGGTGGTTTCACGCCCTGTGTTTCTAATTTCTGACGTTGGTTTTTCTCTAACAAGTGTTCGCTCTCCACCAGTTAAAAAGTCATGTGTAAGCGCTGTTTTCACACGTGTGTTTCCGATAGATTAAAAGATTCAGGGTGGTCTCGGAACAGATGGGATTTTAAGTGATGTTTTCTTATATTAAGGCCCTCTTTTATTCAGAAAAAACACATATATGTATATATATGACAGTTAAAACAGTGTTAGGGTTATTAGGGGTATTAAGGCAACCATGGGTAAACTTGTCCCGTGAGAACGATGATCGACGTTTCAAAAATTTGAATAGGTGAAAAAAGTAAATTGATTGTAAGGAGACTAAATGTCTCCATTTTATCTTTGACGTATGAAGTTTCGATCCATCTTCAAAGGATCCTGATCAATTGATCTTAAATCGTCATCCCTTATAGGTAAAATACTCATTCAATCTCTTCAGAGATGGTTTGCACTTTTTACCATCCCTACACGGAATTCAATGAAAAATTTAGTTCACCGAGGTCTTGACTTGTAGATATCCCATTAGACCAAGTATGTGTATTTTATTATATACTTTGCACGGGTTGAAACCTGTTTTATTGATGAAGGCATTGCACTAAATGCCCACTGTTTATATCAGTGCTGAGAGTCTTATAAGAAAGAAGAGAGAAACAGTCATTTCCACCAAAGATATAGGATGTCTGTCACTAGTAAAATCGTAATTGCAATATTCTTAAGCAACGGTCACTTTCTATAATATACATTGATTTAATGATATCCTTCAGTAAGATTCCAAGTGAGAATCACGTTGTAAACATAGGCGATGGCAGTGGACATAGTCGAATCATCGGTCTACTATTGACTTTTCGTTAACATAGTTAGTGTGGTATCATTACTCATGAACGCTGTCAAACTTGGCTTCGGGCTGATACGTTACCCAGGAATGAGTGTAAACGCAAAAATGAATATAGCCTAATTTGTGGTCGTATTTATATAGCCTAAGGATTGACCGTGAACTGAAATTAAGATTTGATGTCTGAGTCCTGAAGATAACTTATGATTTGTAGCCGTAAGAAAAGTTGCTTGAATATAAGCACTGTGAAAGCTTGATTTGGAGTAAAGTTGATGCGGTGTGACAGTGTGTTAAGAGTGACAATGTGTTACGTGTGACATTGTGTTAGGTGCGGCATTGTGTTTGATATTATTTAATTCAGATATTATAAGTTTCTATAACATTGAGTTACTGATCATGATCACAACTTCAATCTTGCTATAAATAGACGCAACATAGTACACGCGCATTGCACGCACGCGCACGCACACACGCACATGCTGGCACACATTTAGACGTGCATGCAGGTTCACATAAAAGATCAGTTGTATTCGGATTCAAAATTAGCTTATTTATAAATGTATGACAGCGAAATTACTACTGGGCATACATAATGTTCCTTTTTAATTATTGCTTTAAATCCGTCGTATTTTCCGTCTGAGGGAAGCCCTTACAGATGATTGTATAATGTCTTCTTTCATTATGAATTATTTACATACAATGGCTTGGCTTGCAATTGATACCGTCTGCTCGAATTAGTGCACAGGATGCAAATAGGCAGAAACAGTAATGTTGACGTTGACTGGACTGTTTTTCGTTATATAAGTTAGTTTTCAATGTGTTATACTACAGCCATCGCTTTGAATTCTATTGCGTATGTAGTTGAGTGTGTATACGTAGCAAAGTTGAAAAACCCACTCCTTTTTTTTTCCTGTGCACTTGGCTTAAGATTTTACGTATCATTTTTGCTCTTATGTTAAAAAACGGGATCCAATCAATCAATGGTTCGTTTTTTTTTTTTTTTTTTTTTTTTTTTTTTTTCATTATTTAAAAAAAAATATTGTTTTATTTCTAATTGAATGCAAGGTAACAATGTTGTTCCAGAGTAAATGGTGGCTAAAAGAAGCCAGAAGACCGTCTGGTTGCCCTTAGATGCATATGCTTAAAGTTCAATGACCTCATGACTTTCATTCTTCAAATAAGCCCCTCATCGCCCCCCCCCCCACACACACACACACGTATGCGCGCGTGTGCCCCGCAGCATCCTATCCCCCAACTATTATCCTCCTCACCTCAACAATACCCCCTAAGTCACCCCGATAATCATCCAGCCAGTTCTCAGTCCTCCCAATTAATACTCTTACCATGTACCCTTACACCGACCATGCCCTTTTCACCCAACTCCCACCACCCCCTCTTTTTACCTCTTTTTACCCCTCCCCTCCATTCATGTTTCATGTTCTTCACTCACCTTTGCCACCACCCCCACGTTCACCCCCCCCCCCTCGCCCCTCCACATCATTCCCACTCCTATGTCCCAAACTTTCGGCCGAATAATCGTTCCGTTGTTCCCAGCACGACTGCCATCCATCATGTTTTATCGCCTTTTATTGTTCTAATCTCCTTTCATCTTAATTACCACAACAGGGTCTGCTTCATGCTTCTCTCTTCCGCGTGGATAAAATTAGCCTCGATGAGTTGAAATAGCCGGTTAGGTAAACTATCACGGCGCTTGGAATAACACGCCGGAATCGAGGCAACAGACTCCGTTGGACACTGCGGCCCTTGTTGGATATCACTCCATTACCTATCCATTCTCCGGGCCCTGCTTTGGTGTATTGTGTCTGAGAAACGTGTATGTTTCGTGACAAGGGGGGTGAAATGCAGATTCAGGGGCCACGGTTAATTGTAAAGGCCCGGGCTGAGGATGATGGTTCTTGCTGGTGTTGTGTATTCAGGTGGGATGTCGGTGTGGGCGAATTACTGCACAAGAACGGCGGATGCGGAAGCCAACATTTACGTTACTCTTTCTCCCGTTTGAAGTGCGGCGTTTTTTTCATTACGGTCTCATGTTTGGTCCAAGCTTAACAAAACCCATTATTTCTTTAAGGGACGCTGCGTCCGTTATGTATTAGGTCGTAATATTGTTATAATGCCTTAAAGCTAAGGAATGGCCTTTACGCTATTTTCCGGTCTCGTCGTTTTTCCATGCGGGTTTATTTACAGCCTTTAAATGTCTCTCTAAATAGAAGTGCCAAAACGGGGGCCTAAATGAGACATTAAGGGGCAATGCCGCCTTGAGCGTCGGCCCAATAGATGTGAGCATTAAGCTGCGTTAAGTTCAGTCACTACATCATTGCCAACAATATTTATGCAGTAAAATTCCATTCGTTTTTTTTTATTGTTTTCGTTATCGGGTTTTATACCTTTGTGGATAATATTATTAAGCAAACTGAAGTGGTATTTTAACTCATCCGGTGTTGGGGATTCTATTAATGAAGCAGATACTTTTGAAGTTGTAACGTTTTGTTAAGTCTGTAGCAGGCAGGCGTTTCCAAAGTGGAGACGCGTTTACTAAATCGTCGGCCTAATGGAAGATAGAAACAATAAGTGAAACACTTCGAAATGAATAACGGAAAACTGGCCTTGTATACAAAACATGTGTGAAACCGTTCTTTTTGAGACAGAGATGAAAGTTATTGACGCCCAATGTTATGAAAAGAAATCTGGTGAAGAGAAAAAACGCTGCTTATCGCACGAAAATATAATTTTCTGGTCTCATTTTTAGTTTTGTTGCAATGGAGAGCATTCACATCGAGAAGAGCCGAGGTCTAGCAAGGCCGAGGCTTAAATATGGCGGACCTACATGAAAGGAAGACCGCGTAATCTTTTAATGGTCTCTGCCCGCCTCCACGCGCGCTGTCCCTGCAGGAGAATAGCAATTTAACCTTGAAGACGGGATTTTATCCCGTTAATGGCGCGTGTGGAGGCGGGGAGGCCATCGGGGGATTAGGCGGCTTGAGCAATATACATTCCGCGGACTAGTTAGTACGCGGATCAGCTGTTCTGAATGCGACCTAAGAATTCGCTTGGACACTGCCTTTAACGGCGCGTTGCTTACCGCTGCTATTGTAAGTCATGTTGCCAACCCTGGATTTTGGGGTGTAATGGATAGCTAATTACCCTTTTTGTACCAGATTGGATACATTTAATGAAGAGAAATTATTCTGTAGTTCTAAAAAAAATTATTCTGGCCCCCTTAAAAAACGGCGGTCGATCAATGGTACAATGTCGGGACAGCCACTCAATCTATTTATTTATTTATTTATTTATTTGATACACTATCGATATATGTTTACCTAAAGTGGCTATATTGAGACGATAATGATGTAATATGCTGGACATCGAATGACCTGTCCATCCCATGTACTCGCTATCTATCTTGTGTCAATGCATCTGATAGTTGTCGTCTAGTTTCTCACTTTGTAATTACCGCCCACTTAAGTATTCGTTGGACATTTTTGAAAAAGGACAATTGCTTGAATGATAATATATAGTGAGATTATCATTTCATAACTGATGATGAATGATCTAACGGAATGCTTCGTGGGGATTGTTTGCGCATGCTCCCGAGGTGTCGCCGAAGGGAGAGTGACTTTGCGGAGATGACACAATGGCTTTCACGAGGCGCCAATAAAAAAATAAAAATATATATCATTAAACATTTACATATCCATAACAGCTAGTTCTCTTATTAATGACTATAAATGATTGCAAACATTCGTCCATCTTGTGAGAAAGTATCTCTCCAATTGTAGAATGTGTATCTTGTTTTCTGTATCATGAACATTCTGAGTCACGCAATATGGGCAAA